GGTGGGGGAAGGGGAATTTTGTTTTGGGGGGGTGTTTTTTTTTCTCTTTTTTCTTCCTTTCTTTTTTTTTTTTTTTTTTTTTTACCTTCCTCTTTTGTCTTTTTGTAATGGGTCATGCAGAAAGGGAGGAGGCACTCTTTTTTTTATGAACCAGTTACATATATTGAACAAATAGAGGGAAGTCAGTCTCCTGTAAGCCAGCTCTGAAGGCTCATCAGGCCTGAATGCCAGCATATAGGGAGTGAGAAGGGGAAGAACAGGGAGGGCTTCATTTCATGGACATTGCACAGTGAATTAAAATTAAGGTTTTGGAAAGCTGCTGGTGTCACGTTGACTATCATTGTGTCTTTCTCTTCCCTGAGCCTTGGAATAGCAGGTGCCTGCTCTGGCTTGAATATTGCATCACCACATGTTACTCTGCTCTTCCTCAATGAACTGTTCTCACTTATAAAAGCCAATAGAATGATCTTTGCTTTTGGATAGGGACCACTGCTTGTTTGATTTCTGTTAACCCACCCAAATGATTGCTCCTGGGTACCAATTCTCTTAGTCATTATCATCGTTTTGGTATGATTGCATTCATCAGTTTAACACTCTCAGACTTTCACTTCTGAAGCTGTAGATTAATATGCACCCCTAAACACTGCAAAAAGCAACTTTGTGTGAATCATAAACTTACATAATTTGCCACCAGGGTGAAGATATCATGGGTAGACCAAGTCAACTGCTTCTCTTCATACTTGAGGAAATTAAGGCTTACAAAATTTTCTCAAAGTCACAAAGCTTCCTAATGGAGAAGTAATTGTATTTATGTGTTGTAATCTTGCAGCTGTATAAAATATGTTTGAATTCATATACAGAAAGTGCAGAATTCAAATACAGAAAGCACAGTTAAGAATTGGAATTTTTCCTCATTCTCTAATTCATTTCTTTTCTGTAATTGCAGAAGTATGTAAATACCATAAGATAATGTTCTAAGGGTTTATAAGTCTATTTTAATGATAGAAAAATCCATAATGATCCAGGTTTCCTGACTTAATGAGTAGTTAGTAAATTCTGAAGGTTAGAGGGCAGGAGGCTGTCATTTTGAAACTGTGTTGGTTGACTATGTAAAGGTTTGGTTTGGCACCACCTTACTTGCCAACTAAACTGAGTATGTTCATTTATTTTTAATAAAATGAATGAAGGTACTATCTTTTTGATTTTCTAAAAAGAAAATATAGGTGTACATTAGGGGAAAACTGCATAGTTAATCAACTCTATAACTGCATTTAGGATCCTATGAAAAATTAGGATTTTTTTTACCATGTTGTATGATTTTCACATCTTATTTATGAATTCCCCAGTTTCAGTAAGTATGCAATAATCTCTGTAGTAATTGTTGTTAGTCATATCAGTTGTGAAGTCTTATGAAATAGCATTGGCTGAGAAAGAATATGTAGTTGCAGATACATTTCCACCACCATGAATTCTATCTTCGACTTAAGTAGCCTTCCTTCTTGCCACCCCTGTACAGTCTAGCAGTTCAAAATAATCCTGATGCCTAGTTTATATTCCCATTGATGGTCTTTGCCCTCATTCCTGCATCATGACTCAGTATCTGTTATGTGAATGAAGGGTTCCAAGTTATAATTCTGTAGTAATGGCTACTGTTTACTGAGGTCTTAAGATGCAAATGGCCCCATTCTAAATAATCCAACTACTAATCTACAGTGTCATGCATGGGTTTGGAAAGTTTGGATACAATGTTTGAGGTCACTGTTCTTACTACACCTATGTTCAAAAAGCTGTGATTTTCTAGTCCTGGCCTCTAATTCCATAACTGGAGAATGAAAGGCTAAAATAAAACAGTCTTTGTTTTGCAAATGGGAACACTGAGTTTCTTAGAAGGTTAAAGACTCTTGTGTGCATATGGCCTGTAAATAGCAGAGCTAAATGCTGCAGTCAACTCTTTGTGATTCAGAAGCTCTGCTCTTTTGAGTATACATTCTTAAGAAACCTGCTGTCCCCCTGACATCTCATAATGATTGTCCTGCTTTTCTGGACCCTACCCAGCATAAGAGTATAGAAGCCCAGAGCTCTAATTGTATAATTTTTAATTTAATAAATGATTTAATAAAGAATTCATTTGTCCCAGGAATTTTAACATTCAGCAGGTT